GCGCTCCCAGCGCCGCGCTCTCCTGAGTGAGCCACGGGGTCGGCCCTAACTGCTCTGTTCTATGCGGTGTATTTCCAGTCCCTTCCAATGTCCATCATTCCTTCAGTTCTTTCTGAGCTATGTGGCGTGTCTCTGTGTGTGGGGTTTCACATATGTTTGCCACTTCCATTAATATGAATGTGACTCAATTATCTATTCCTGCGAAACAGATCACCCCAAAACTTAGTACAATAGCTTAAAACAACGATGTATTATTTGTCCCGATTGTAAGGGTGACATGGCAGTTCCTCTACTGGTGTCACTGGGGCTGGAGGTCAGCTGGGCTGGAAGGTCCAGGATGGCCTCACTCACATGTGTGAGGGTTGGTGCTGGCTATTGCATGGCGTATCAGTCCGTTTCCTGTTGCTTATAATAATACCTGAAACCAGGTGATTTATGTAGAAAAGAGGTTTGTTTCTTTCAGTTTTGGAGGCTGGGAAGCCCAAGGTCCAAGGGAGCACATCTGGTGAGGGCCTGTGTCCTGGTGGGGATTCTCTGCAGAGTCCTAAGGTGGTGCAGGGCATCCATCACATGACCAGGGCTGGACGAGAGTGCTTTTGCTTGCTCACTTGCTCCCCTTATAAAGCCCCCAGTCTATTCCCTGATAACCCATTAAGCCATTAACCCACAAATTCATGAATGAGTTAATCGATTCATGTGAGCACAGCCCTCATGGTCCTCACCTCTTAAAGTCTCCACTTTTCAAATACCATATTGGAAATTAAATTTCAACATGAGCTTGGGGTGACGTTCAAACCACAACACCCGGGCACCTTGATTTTTCTCCTTGTGGCCTCTTATTCAGTAGGCTAGACCTGCTCCTTTCCATGGTGGTCTCGGGATGATCTTCTTCTTTTTTTTTTTTTAAAGATGACTGGTAAGGGGATCTCAGCCCTTGGCTTGGTGTTGTCAGCACCATGCTCAGCCAGTGAGCAAACCAGCCATCCCTATGTAGGATCCGAACCTGTGGCCTTGGTGTTATCAGCACCGCACTCTACCGAGTGAGCCACGGGCCGGCCTTCGGGTTGGTCTTCTAAGGACAAAGGTGGAAGTTGCAAGTCCTGTTAAAGCCTCATCTTAGTCATATAATGTCACTTTTGTTGGTCAAAGCAAGTCACAAATTCACTATTATATTAAATAGAATTATTTTTGCTCATACGAACTCAGCTGTTACTAACCCCATGAAAGGAGTTTAGTAGCTATTTCTGAGGATGGATTAAAGTGCAGAAGAGGATTGACTTGCGAAAAGATCTAAATAAAAATATTTTAAAATGAGTTCTATTACATGATGAATAAGGTTTTTAATGAGTTGTTATATGCTAATTAACCTTTTCTTTTCTTTTCTTTTCTTTTTTTTTTTTTTGGCAGCTGCTTGGTACAGGGATTGAGCCCTGGACCTTCCTTAATGTTATTAATTAGTTTTTATAAATACTTTTTTTTTTTTTTTTTATAAGATGACCGGTAAGGGGATCTTAACCCTTGATTTGGTATTTTCAGCACCACGTTCTCCCAAGTGAGCAAACCGGCCATCCCTATATAGGGATCCGAACCCGTGGCCTTGGTGTTACCAGCACCACACTCTACCAAGTGAGCCACGGGCCGGCCCCTAGCTTTTATAAATACTCTTAATATAAAAGTATACATTTATATACTTAGAACTTTTTTTTTCCCCAAAGACTTTTGATGATAGCAGCAATTCAGTGAAGGACATAGAATAAGTATTATCTTCTTCATTTAATGGGAGTTTGGGAGACACTGAAGCAGCGAGAAATTACATGACTAGTTTATGGCAGATCTGTGTTTGGGTCCCAAGTCTCCTGCTTCCTAATTCTGTGCCCCTTCCATGGCTTTCAAATAGTAGAATTCTGACGATTCTTCCAGAAGAGTGGAGGGAGTTTGAAGGAGTCTCCGTTTTCATCGTTCACAGCTATTAGGCAGAACTTCATCGTGCCCACAATGATTAGTTAAGTAGTGTGACACTTTGTGCATACATTGTCCTTTCTATCTGATTCTTCCAGAAGAGTGGAGGGAGTTTGAAGGAGTCTCCGTTTTCATCGTTCACAGCTATTAGGCAGAACTTAATCGTGCCCACAATGATTAGTTAAGTAGTGTGACACTTTGTGCATACATTGTCCTTTCTATCGTAAAGTTGTTCCACTTACTCTCACGTATGATTCTCACAACAGCTGGGTGAGATACCATTATAGTGCTGAGAAAAACAAAGCTGCAAAAATGAAACATGGCTTGCCTTCCGTATCAATTCTTCTGAAATCTCCTAATGCCCAGTTCAGTGTTCTTTCCATGGCATGGTTGGGCTCAAAGTCTAAAAGCATTGAAAATGAACATCATATGGCATTCAGGTACACAGGTTCAGTTACCCCCAAATGAAATGATTTATAAATAGGTATAAAGTGCATGTTTGCATGACCCCGAGCAAGTTCCCTTCCCACTACACTGAGTGCTGTCATTCAGTTTTTCTCGCGTGGATAAAGAGGTAGTTGGATCACAGTGATCTCCAAGGTTTCTTCCTGCTCTAGAATTAATGGTTCAATTTATGTTGTGTATTATTGTTAGTCTGAGAGGAAATGAAGGTCTTTAAAAGAGAGATCCAAACTTTTATATGGATGACAGGGACTTATCAGGAAGAGTTGAGTATAAGAATATGGCACATGACTGTTTTATGAGATTCCGTTTTTTATTTAACAAAGTTTTATGGACATATATGTATTCTACCCTCTTGGAGCTTATAATTGAGGAGGGGAGGTAGTCTTTAATCTAATAATCATCTCAGCTGTATGGGGAACAATGAAATGGCCTGGTAGAGACCTGGCCATAATGGAGATGCAAAGAATGAGGACTTAAGTAGGCACAAGGAGTGGAAAGACAGTGGGGAGAAGTAGGAGAGAGCATCCCATTCTCAGGGATGACATATTCAAAGGCCCTGTTGTAGATGGGGCCTGGTATGTGTGATGAACTCTAGTTCAGTGTCTCTAGAGCACACAGAGGTCAGAGGTGAGAGTGGTTCTTATAGGACAAGGAGCAGGACCATGTGTGCATTTTGGTCCAAGTGAAGGATTTTGGTCTATATCTGGAAAGCAATTGAAGAGTATTTTCAACTGGGGCAGGACAGGATCAGGTTTGAATTTTGAAAAGATCATTTAATTGCTATGTCGTTTTAGGTGCTTGAGAACAAAAGTAGATGCAAAGTATAGTCCCATTAAGAAAAGACTGTAGTTATCTAGGGTAAAGGTGTTGGTGTTTTAGACTAAGGCAATGGCGATGCTAGAGACGGGAAGGCATAGACATGTATGGGAGAGATTTAGGAGGTAAAACCCACAGTTTATACTGACAACTGGGCGGGGGATGAGGAAGATGGTGGCCTCAAGGGTAACGTCTTGTTTTCTGGCTGGATGCTAGAAGCACTCATTGGCGCAGGACCAGGTGTGGGGGAAGAGCATGAGTTCAGTGTAGGGCTTGCTGATTTTGAGGTCTCTTTGAGATGTGTATATGGATGCAAAGGTGTGGAGGTGGGAGTATAGGCCTGGTCTGGGGATTTAAATTTAGGAGTCCTTGGGGCATCAATGGTAATTGAAGTCATGGGGATGAAAGGGCTCACCTGAGAGAACATGGAATGAGAAAAGAGGTATTGTGGACCAAATCTTAAGGGATCCCAACCTTTAAAGTCCAGGGAGATGAGGAGGAGCCAACACAAAGGTAGCTGAGGAAGAAGTAGAAGCAGATGGACAGGAGGGAAACCAGTAGAGTTTGACGTCCCACTAGCTGAAGATGGTGGGCAATAGCATCTAATGGTATTAATGTCAACCAAAATGAAGACTTGCATTTATGTTATACTGCATCATATATAGATTCATGGGGGAACACTTATGTCCTCAGTGGGAACTATTTTGGAGATGCGGTGAGAACAGAATTCAGAGCTGGGAAGGTAGGTGCAAGAAGCGAGCTATGTGGGGATAGGAGGATGATAAAGGAATGACTTATGTAGTTGTCTTAGTCACTGCAGGCTGCTATAACAAAATTACCATAGACTGGGTAGCTTAAACAGCAAACCTTTGTTTGGGAAGTCCAAGATCACAGTGCCAGCAGAGCCAGTGGCTGGTGAAGGCTTGCTTTCTAGTTTGCAGGTGGCTGTCTTCCTGTTGTGTCCTCACCTGGTAATAACAGAGAGAAGCAAGCTTTCTCCTGTCTTTTATTATGAGGGCACTAATCCCATCATGAGGACTGCTCCTCTTGACCTCCCAAAGGCCCCATCTCCAAATACCATCACACGGATGAGAGATTCAAAATATGAATTTTGGCTAGCCGGTTAGCTCAGTTGGTTAGAGCGCAGCCTTATAAAACTAAGGGCATGGGTTCGGATCCCCATACTGGCCAGCCACCAAAATAATGAATTTTGGGTGGACACACACACTTAGTCCATAGCAGTAGTCTTATTAGCAGCACAATTTGGGAATTGCAGTAATGCTTTTAGGAAAGAAATCCTAGCCTTTTTATAAAGGTAGGGTAGGTCTTGGCCACTTGTAACTCCTTTTCAAGATGGCTAACTTGAATGCAGTGTGCTAATGGTAGGGTAGCACAATTTGGGAATTGCAGTAATGCTTTTAGGAAAGAAATCCTAGCCTTTTTATAAAGGTAGGGTAGGCCTTGGCCACTTGTAACTCCTTTTCAAGATGGCTAACTTGAATGCAGTGTGCTAATGGTAGGGTTTTAGATTGCATTTTTAGTTTTTTTCCCAATTACCAGGATAAAATGCATCTTGTTCACTTCTGAAGCAGATCCTTCTCTTAGAGACTACATTTGTGGTAGCACATGACAGCCACATCTGTCTGTCTGGCAACTTTGCTGTGATGCTTCACAGAAGCCTATACTGTAAGATTTCAAATGAACTATTTTCCTTTTGTGTAGGTTTGTTTTATTTTTCTTCTCCCCTTTCTTCCTCCCAGGCTAATGAGCCCTGAAAACACACTCCTGCAACCCAGGGAAGAGGAAGGGGTCAAGTATGAGCGTACTTTCATGGCATCTGAATTCCTAGATTGGCTGGTTCAGGAAGGTGAGGCCACCACAAGGAAAGAGGCAGAGCAGCTTTGCCACCGGCTTATGGAACACAGCATCATCCAGCACGGTGAGTGTATCAGTCAGCTTTTGCTGCAACAACAAACAATTCCCAAATCTTGTGGCTTACCACACCAAGCACTTATTTCTTACTCATAGGCCCATAAGTCAGCCATACCTCTGCTTGGGCTCACTTGGCTTGTTATCTCCAAGCCCAGGGTCAAGTTTAGGTCTGTGTTCCATGCCTTCTCATTCTGGGATCCAGGCTAAAAGAACATCCACTGTCTGGGATATGTTGTTTTTACAGATGACTACAGAAGCTAAAGAGGGAAAGCAGATTTTTGTAGTGCCTCCAAAAGCTTCTGCTCAGAGAAGATGTAACTTCACAACTCCACATCCATCTTGCCAAAGCATGTCATGTAGTCAAGTCCAGCATCTGTGGATTTGGGTAGTAAAGACAGTCCCTGACTTACAGTGGTTCTACTTTATGATGATGTGAAAGCAATACACATTCCTTGGAAACCTTACTTTAAATTTTGAATTTTGACTCAAAATTCTTTATTATAACTTTATTATAAAATAGGCTTTGTGCTAGATGATTTTGCCCAACTGTAGGTTAATGGAAGTATTCTGAGCACATTTAAGGTAGGCTAGGCTAAGCTGTGATGTTCAGTAGGTTAGGTGTGTTAAATGTATTTACAATATTTTCAACTTACAGTGGGTTTATCAAGTTATAACCCCATCATAAACTGAAAAGCATCTGTAGATGCCTCCCACAAGTTTCATTATGAATGGAGATTGAAAATTTGCTGAATCATGATACAGGGTGCCACAGTGAAGAGTTAATCCAAAGGGCCTTCATCAAAGTTTCTCTTTCCTTTAGGACTGAATCATAATGATGCAATGTAACCTATTGGTTAGGAACTGTATTAGTTATCTTTTGCTGCATAACAGGTCACCCTAAAACTTAATACTTAATTAATTGCCCCCAAAACTTACTGGTGTAAAACAATAATAAGTGTGTATTATCTCACACAATTTCTGTTGGCCAGGAATTTGGGAGAGGCTTAGTTAGATCTTTCTGGTATGGGGTCTCTCCTGAGGCTGCAGTCAAGATATTGGCCATGGCTACAGTCATCTGAAGACTTGACTCACTGGAGGGTTCAATTCCACAATGTCTCACTTATTACCCAACAAGTTGGTGCTGGCTGTTGGCTGGAGGCTTCAGTCCATCAGTCCATCACTACATGGACTTCTTTATAAGGCTGTTTGAGAACTCTCATGACATGGCAACCTGGCTTCTTCCAGAGGGGGATCCAAGAGAGTGCAAGATAGAAGCCACAATGTTTTTTCTAACTGAGCCTTGGAAGTCATACACTCATTTTCTCGATAACCTATTGGTTACCAACCAGGTCGGTACTATTCAGTGTGGGAAAAGACTACACAAGAACCTGAATACCAGGAGGCAGGGATCACTGGAACCATCTTGTAGGATGGCAATCACAAGAACTTAGCCTCTGGAATCCCAGCTCCACCAGTTATTAGCTACTTACCTTCTCTTATCTGTAAAATGGGATGACCTCATAGGGTAGTTTTAGGAGAAAATAGGGTAGATATAAAGCACGTGGTTCAGTGCCCTACTCTTAGTAAGTACTCAATCAATGAACTATAATACAGCTACAAGGTGTAGGCTTGGGACAGTGAGGAAAGGGCTGGGAACCAAGCAGGCATTTCAGCCTGAGAGTCAGTATGAAGATGATGCTGAGTCGTTCTTGCTGTGCTCTTTCTCTCCTATCCCCACTACTATCCAGGCCTAGAATTTCTATTCCAAGGTTAGGAATATGACAGTGGAGTTACAGAGATGAAAGAAACTTTAGAAATTATTTGGAGCAGTGTTTTACCACTGCAGATTGCAACCCTTTACTGGGTCATGAAATGAAAGAACCATTCATTCCCAGCATTTAAAAATAAAACTTTAAATTGGCCAGACTAGACTCTTACAAAGTGTGGTCCACGGACCTGCAGTGTCATCCGGGAGCATGATAGAAATGCAAAATCTTTGACTGACCCTACCCAAGTCCTGCTGAATCCAAGCCCCGAGATCCCATGTGATTCGAATGTACATTAAAACAAGTGATTCAAATGCATATAAAATTGGAGAGGTACTGGAGTAGATTTAAGTAAGATAGAAAAGATCAGAGTATACTTTATGTAGTAAGAATAAATAGTTTTGCAAAACTTTTGCCCCGAGATCCCATGTGATTCGAATGTACATTAAAACAAGTGATTCAAATGCATATAAAATTGGAGAGGTACTGGAGTAGATTTAACTAAGATAGAAAAGATCAGAGTATACTTTATGTAGTAAGAATAAATAGTTTTGCAAAACTTTTATTTCAGTTAGATATATATTATATACACATATAGGCATATTCATGTGTGTATTGACCTACAACCTAAAAATTATTTGTTACTGTGTGTTGGGGTCAAATATTTTGAAAGCCACTGATCTAGAGATGTTGGCTGGAGTGGCACTCGATGTATTCCAGGGTGTTTTCTCCTGGGTGGTGCTGCCACGATTGAACTTACAACTGTATGTTGATGACCTAATCTGTCTAGCGCTGGGCTGAGTTCACTGAGGGAGGGGAAATGGATAGGAAAGCATAATGCCATTGTGGTCCCTGCCCTTACACAGATTATAGTCTTGTTGGGACTATAAGATGGTTATAGAAGCAATAAGAAAACAGTAGAAGATTTACCACATATTTCATTCATTTGTTTATTTATTTTATATTGTGTGCCAGCACTGTTCTAATCATTTTACCCTTATTCTCTTATGTAAACTTCTTAAACCCTATGTGTTAACTATTTTTTTGTATTATTTTATTGTGATTAAGAATATTTAATATGAGATCTACCCTCTTAACAAATTTTTAAGTGCAAAGTGCAGTATAGGGCAGATATTCTTACTACCTCCATTTTATAGATCAGTAAATTAAGGCACCAGTAGGTTAAATAATTCATCTGAGGCCACTCAGGTAGCAATGTCCTAATGAATATTACTGCTAGTAAGTGTGAACTTGGGGTTGGTGGAGTGACTGGCGTTTTCCCCAATGAAAAATGGTATGTTTGGGTTAGAGTAGGTTTTGTCATTTTTTTTTTTTTTCCTTTTTGTCTTTTTTCGTGACCGGCAACGGATCACAACCCTCGGTGTTGCGCCCGCACCTCGCTCAGCCAGTGAGCAGGAACCGGTCTGTATGTGGGATCCGAACCCTCGGCAGAAGCGCAGCCGCGCTCCCAAGCGGCGAGGTTCTGTCATTTTTGCTTCAGACAGAAAATGTCAGGTGATACCACATTCTAGGAGAAAATTAGCCTCTTATACTATGATCTACTGACTCACACTGTACATCCTTGACTTTAGAGAGAAGATGGAGGATGCCATGGTTTCCAAATGATTTCCGCGGACTGAGTAATTACACTTCAATCACGGTGTATAAACATAAATGCCATAAGTGTGCAATGTAAAGATTAAAATGAAGGTGTTATTGATACCAAATCTTAACCACAGAAGTATGTTTTCCATGGTTATAGGAGGACCGAATATTCTGTATACAGAAGCCAGGATTTCCAAGAGAGTTCCAGTTTCCCAGTATGGCAATTCATTGATAGATCACAGGCTCTAACTTGGAGTTATGAAATTATGGCCCCCATATCTGTGTATGTTAGAGCTAATGATAAGTACCAGTAATGTCTTAAGCAAAGCTCTGAATTGTCTAGGTAATATTTAATTTTGTAGGTTAAACATTAAAGAAAGTTAGCCTTTAGGCTTTGAGCAGAAGTTTTATGGATAAAAGTGGTTCCCTAGATCGAAACCAGTAGGCATAAAAATCAGGCCCACGTATGAAATCCTAACTAGCTTCATTTATAAATGGTGAATGATACTCTATAATCAAGGCAGAACTTGTTAGATGAAAAATTTACTTGCATGCATATTTATATATATGGGTCTATGCATTTATGTGTACCAACTTACCTAGCTTTTTTATTTATTGAGATTTACCATGTACCAGGCACTAGGCTAAATACTTTATAGATTTTAATATACTTGTATTATGTATTAATATGTATGTGCTTTACACATATGATCTATGATTTATATACTGTATGTGTAAACCTATTAAATCTTCACAGCAATTCTATGACATTGGTATTATTATTACAGCTTCACAGTGAAAAAATCTGAGATTCAAAGCCTTTAAGGTATTTTTCCAAGGTTGCATAGCTACTAGCTCTTGTGCCTTAGAAAGAAGCTTACCTGGACTGGGGATGTATGTTACTGGGTGTGACTGCCTGGCACAGAGAAATGAGCACAGGATTTGGAAGGAATTGGACTGGATTTAGATCCCAGCTTCTTCATCGACTTCAGCTCCTTCATCTGCATGTTTATATTTCTTAACTTTCCCTTCCTCAGATTTTTAAATTTATGAGATTAGAGTTACATTATATTTCTTTGACAGCTGGGTTTTTGGTTTTTTCCCAGAAATCCTATGAGCACCCACATGTGTGGTTGTATGTATATTCAGTTGTACTCATGGCTAAGATTTATTACAGTGAAAGGATACACAGCCAGATCTGCAAGGGAAAAAATCACATCAGGTGGTCTGGAGAAATCCAGGCACAGGGTTCTGATGTCCTCCCTCCTAGGAGGTGCCGCACAGAACTGGCTCCTTCCTCCAGCAGTGAAGTGTAGTTAACACATGTGCGATATCTCTGCCCCAGGAAGTCCTCTTGAGACACAGACTCTGTGGTTTTTACTGGGGGCTGCTGCTGTAGATACACTCCACCTGCTGGCTGCAATTCCTAGCATTCCAGACTTTCAGAAGGAAAGCAGGTGTTCTTCAACAGTCACATTGTTTGTACAAACAGTCTAGCCAGGCTGATACAGCACAGTTCAGTGCCCTCAGTGGGCAAAGTTGCCTTATCAGTTAGTGACTTAGGGAACTTTCCAAAAGCCAGGTTCCCAGATGCTAGCCATGGGCCAGCTCCACAAGCAGGCCCTTCTGTACCAGG